AAAAAAAAAAAAAAAGATGGAGAAGAAGCAACAGAAAAAAGCAAAGAAGCGCTCAAAATTATTACTGTTGAAGATCAGATTTAGTTCAGTTTTTGAGGCATTAAATAGTCGATTGGACAACTTAATTTCCACCAAGAAACCATACAAATTCCAAAAAAAAGATAAATTCAATTTTTTATTTCTTGATTTACCTTGTTTTGGCAGATAATTAGATACCTGTCTTACCATGCGATTACAAAATGCTTCAGAAGTTGCCTTCTAGAAAAAAAAAAAAAAAAGGAAAAAGGAAAAAAAAACAAGGGAAGAAAACGAAAAGATCTGTTAGTTCGTAAACAAAAAAATATACTTTTTTCCTCAAATATTCGATTTAATTTACAATTAATTTGTTCAATTATCAAATAGTATAAGTAATCATTTCGACCACAATGAGTTATTCAGTCAATTTTTGGTACTGTATAAGGGAGACATTTAATTGTTTTGTAGACTTGAATATCGATACCAATATACTTTATGTAAGGCTACTTTTATTTTCAAATTTTCGCAAACAGATAATCCAAAATAAAGCATAAAAAAATTAGGTTCCTCCAGTAGCAGTTTTATGTGACGCTATAAAACTTCTGCTTTGTAATTAAGTGGTAGCCAAAGTGGTTTCTCAGATTTCACATACAAATTTTGCTGTCATCAACGGTGACAAATGAATTAAACTGTTCGGTGATTTCTATAAAAATTGGAGTGTACTATCAAATTTATTCCCGTAAAAATGCTGGAACATTGTCTCTTTGCCAATAAGCAATTTTTCTTCCAAAAATTTTTTTAGCTTTTTGATTTGGAGAAAGACGGACAGGAAGAGAAAGTGATTTAAATAATTGAGTATTGTTGAAGCACATAAACTCTAAACAGTACCATTTAGAAACAATATTATTTTTGCAGTAAGCATTGACAAAGCTAAAGATTCTATTGAATATTTTATTGCAATTTTAGTTGTTACCTATATATATATGTTCAATAAAAAATTATAAAGTTTTTTATTCATGCTTTCCTGGTAAATTTTAAAGCTGTATTTGATTTTTTTTTTTTTTCTGGCTGCAAAGAGAGTTTTAAATTTGTTGTATTTAACGAAATGAAGTGGCGATGTAAGAGGTGAGAAAACAGATTAAATTTTTTTTGTGTCTTAGTATTTTTATGCTTATTTATATATTTATTTTTCTTTTTCTTAACAAGAGTAACAACAGCGAAGAAGGACAGTTTTATCCAATATTAAAGCTTCTTCAATGAATAATGGCCTACAGATAACAGATACACGCGAATCATTTGAATACAAATATAAAATGCTCTTTTTGCCTTTATAATAAGCAGATTAGATAATGATTTTAAATCTCACCAAGAAAACCTAAATATTTTCATTGGTTTTTTTCAGTATTTTGAAGAATTTTACGCATTTGCTTTTCTGCTGGACAGTGAAAGTGAAAAAAAATTTTTATCTTAAAGAGTGTATTTTGCTTTTTCCTATTATTCCAACAATGGTTCTTCAAATGTACATTGTATAAGGCTCATTTTGTAATAGTTTTTCTAAACGAAAACAAATTTGATTTAGACGTAGGAGACAGGAAATAATAACAAAGAAGCAATAAAGAAAAAAGTCATTAATGCTAAAAATTTTTATTTCTTGACCTTTTTTGAATTTTTTATCTATAAGTTATTTTGAAATTTATTCTTTTTTACCTTTTCATATTAGAACTTTTACAAAAAAAAAAACTATAAGAAATTCTTCGATATGTAGGAGTAAGCAGTTTTTTCCCTGTTATAGATCTATTAATGACCAGAAAAAGAAAAGATAAATAGTGGTTTACTTATGAGACATTAGTTAAGTAGAAGTCATAAAGAAAAAGAAGAAAAAAAGTTTGC